CATTATCTACTATCTATTATGCACATTGGTGTCTCGTTGGTTGTCAACCTATTAGGTTTGGCTTGAATGAATTTGGTCATATCACGGGTTTAAACACATATCCACTGCCTATAGAGAAGTTTAAACCTAAAGTTGACTATAAAACATTCTTCAAAGATTTGAAAGAGCCTGGTGGGGGAGGTCCAAAGTTAGATGAACTAAGGGCATGATTATTACAGTGCCAGGGATGGACACTTGAAAAGTGTAGATGGTTGGGGTTGTTGGTTCTAGAATACCATATCAAAGTGCTAAAAGAGTTTTTGATGATGAAGCCATTAAGACTTTTCTCTGGGGTCGGTCAGTATTTTAAACTCTTGTTGATGCTATAAAGATATCGAGGTCTAGTGGTATGTTGTGCATGATATATCATAATTTTTACGGGTTTTTGGCCATAATATAAGTCTTATTTATAGAGTTTTAATAGTGTTTTCGAGTCTTTTTGAGTCATTTCAAGATTAGGACCTATTTCGCATGGATTGGAGCTTTCTGGAGCATTTGGGAGCATTTGGAGAAGATGTGCCGAAGGAACGTATTGGGAGAGCATATTTGGTGTGAGTGTCGAGCGTCACAACTTTGGGTGTCGATCGACACCAATATCTGACGGCAATTGAATTTCATGCGTAATTGAAGTTCAGAAGATTTGTATATTCGGCACAGAAGTTTCCCTTATTTGCAGTTAAGCCCAGTTCATGGTTAAGACATATATATTGAGTTTTTAGGGTTTTGTTAAGACTTAAGCTTTATTTTGGAGAGAGAGATTTGTAGAGAGCTGGGAGAGAAGAATCAAAACCTCCTACAGAGAAGATTCAAAGCTCCTTTACTTCTTCTATTACTTTCTTTTATGATATCTATTTTATTCATGATGTTTGTTTCATTCACCATGTATGAGTAGATTTCATGTTAGGTTTAGGGTTTTCAAAGGAATTCATGAATTGTTAGGTTATTAGATTGTTAGGATTGAATCAATAGAGTTCTTCATCTAGATTGTGGTTAATTTGTTCTAGAGTAATGAAAGCAACCTAGAATCTGATCTTAGGTTAATTGGTAGACACGAAAGTTTACTGATTTCCTGAAAATAATCTAGATGAGCAAAATACCTATTCGCAAAGAGATTTGGTTTAGGGATTTTGTGAACTTATCAAACCTGAATTAAATGCATGTCTTAAACTTATAATTTTGCAAAGAAATTTGGAATTTAGGGTTCTAGACATAGATAGTCTTTGCAACGAAAGTTGATGATTATATTTTTGTGATTTGAGTTCAAGAACGGTGCTTTATAAATCCTGACAATTCTTTATTTGCAATTCTGAATTTCTTGAGAATATCCCTAGGCCTAGCATTTCCTCAAAACTGTTTAAAAACCAATCTTTATTTTAATTTGCTGTTTTATTTAATTTAAAACTTGTTTGCTTAGCTTAATTTAATACCAATTATTTATTGTGTAATCGTTGAGTCTATGTGATTCGATCCCTAAGTAATATAGTGATCTCTTTATTGAGACAGTAGCTCAGGGAAAATTTGAGCCGATCAGTGCACCATTATTGGCATAGTTTATACGTTACAAGCATGAGCCTATGATTTAATCAAATGTATTGTAGAGCGTTATGGGAATCTAGTCAATCCTGACGAGATACCGTTGTTTTGATTGGTGAGGTAAGGTTTTGGCTGAGTTTTTTTTTGAAGATATCAGAGAGTATGGTGAGGTAAGGTTTTGGCTGAGTTTTTTTTTGTATTGCCTGAGTTTTTTTTTTGTATTGCCTGAGTTATGTTTTGTATAGACTAAGTTATGTTTTGTATTGGCTGAGTTATGTTTGCATTGCGTGAGTTTTTTTTTGTATAGACTGAGTTATCTTTTGTATTGGCTAAGTTATGTTTTGTATTGGATGAGTTATCTGTGTGATTTATACTTATTCATTATTGATTTTTGCATATTATTGATGTGTTCATAATTTTCGATACTACAACTCATGTGAGTAAAATGGTTATGAAATATTGATATAAGAGAGCTGTTTCATACCTAGCCAGATCAACTCGAAGACCCAACACTTGATCAGTTGATCCAAGACATACATGAGGATAAGTTTTGTACAGGTTTTTGGGATGTTAAGAGAAAGGAGAAGAAGAAAAGAGTCAATGATAAACCAGCTGTTTTCTGTGAATCACCCGCGAAGAAGCAATTACTCCACATTGTGTGTAAAACATTTGAAGCGATCAACAATGAGGGTGGTGTAGGAGATGCACATAAGAAGATCAACAAGAATAAATAAGTGAAGGTTAGTTAATGGTGTATAGTGTGTTTGTCATCAAAATGTAACATTTGGTTTGCTGATTATGTTTCTTGTGTATGTACTGCAAGGTGCTAATGAGAAGTGATGAAGGGAAAAAGGTGTCGCTTAGAGCATCCTTGGATATGTTGTCTAAATTAATCTCAAGGTTTGACATCTTTGATACGAACAGCGAGAGACAACTTGGAAGTATTGAGAGGATGCTTGGAAGTATTGGGAACATGCTTGGATGTATTGAGGATGAAGTGAAAGATATTAAAGAGGACCTGAAAACCAAGAGTGGGCCAATTAAGGAAAACGTAAATCATGGTGAGTCAGATACCAGAGTTAAGGATCTGATAGAGAATAACTAAAAACAAAAGACACTGAAGACACCTCCAGGTCCACGAAAACCGGTTCAGACGCACTTTGTTACTAGTCCTCTTGTAAGCTATTTGACACACATACATCTAAATTAATTATGGCTCATATGTCATAACGTTATGGCTGAGTTAACCTTATATTTTTTTTATATTTCTTCCTATGATGGACAGGCGAAGAAATCTGCATATGTAGAGAAGGAAAGTGGTTTAGTTTAGGTCAATAAAAAACTGGCTAAGGAATTTGATGATTTCGTTGTGGATTCTACGATAACGAGAGGGCGCCCTAACACGAGGGCTGCAAGAAATGCTTCTGACCAAAAGACCAAGGAAGCAGCGGACCTGCATAAGAGAAAGTCAAAGAAGCAGAGGTATATAAGAGAAGAGTCAAAAAAGCGTGGTTACCTGAGGGAAAATCCAAACATGAGTGTGTATAGATGCAGGACGAAGAGAATGAGCGAAAGATAAGAGGAAGAAATACTCCAACGGTTAACCAGATGAAAATAACATTACATGTTCCTCCATTAATTAAAGCCAATAAAGAAGTTGATGTTCTCTTGGAAAAGGTTGTTATAAAAAATGTCCTGATCGAAGATTATAGTGACGTATGGGATGTCGCTGACTAGTTTCTCGTTGATAACGACAGTATGTGACATGATTCTGATGATGATGTCGAGGAAAAGAGTAGGATTGATAGAATAAAAGCTTTGAGTATAGAGAGTGTTAATATATCCCCGAATGGGAGGGCATTGAATCCACAAGAGGCAAATCTACAAAGGGTATTTTCTATTATTGGGGACAACAGATTGACGTGCATGAGTAAGAATTGTTTACCTTCAGATGACATATATGATCCTCTGAGTATTGATTTGTGGTTCCCTCTTTGAAAGAGCCAATCAAGAATGGCAACAAACAAAGTTGAGTTCTATAGGACTTTCATCACCAAAACACAACACTGGCCAGATACATATTATGGATGATGAGAATCTCCCTAGGATTCGGCACTCTTAAGTTGAGCAAGGATAGATTTGGCTGGAAAACCGTGGAGGGCAATAGAAGTTGAATGGCCAATGGATATCACAAGGAGCTTGCGGAATAGATTCACGATACCAAACTGAGATCCTTTGGATATACGCACCAAAGAAACTAAGGGTTTTGCTGGATATACACACCAACAAGATGATCGATGGATATACACACCAACGCAAAGATCTCCTTAGAAAAATAAAAGGTTTTGATAGAAAGAAAGGTTAATGTCTCAAAACGATTACAAGGGATTTATAAAGAAGAAGGAAGTCTTGAAACACACTCACACGACTACATTGGAAATAACAAAATATTAAAGATAGAGTTTGAACAGAAATGACCCTTGAACTACTTATTTTCGTCACTCCTCTTGGCGGGCAAATTAAACCATTTGTTTGGGCTCTTCTTAGTCTTGAAATAGACATAAGACAAGATGGGTTTGGTATATATTTCCTTGGGCCAATTTATGAATGTTAGACCATGGTTTGGATCAACAAATGGGTAATTTGAATGTGAATCATTTGCCTCATTAAAAGCCTTGTCAAGAAAACCTATTGTGACAAAACTTGACAACGGAAAAAGAGTAAAAATGAGACACATGCCCATCTGGTGATCATGTATCAAAACAAGTAAGGTTAAAATAACATCTTTCCCATACTCTTTCTCCGCTATAAGTTCATTCTCTGGTTCAAACGGCTCCTTAGCTTCGAGCTACTCCTTTGCTTCAAGCTCCTCCTCAACTACAATCTCTATGTAAAGTTTTAAGTCTGTTGTGCTAGGCATGATCATATCATCCTCTACCTCTTGAAAAGGATTGGACCTCAAATCTAATTTATCTAAAATGAAAAGAACCAATTCAGCAATTTTGAAACAATAACACACATTATACTTACCTTGCAACTCAAGTTCATAAGCTTTGTTGTTGATCTGGCTTGCTATGTTGAATTGACCATCGATCCTCGGGATTAGATTGGACTCCCCTTCAGGTTGAAATCTTTTCTTCCTCCAATGTACCCACACTTGTTCTCCAACCTCATATATCATCCTGAAACGAGCATAAGGTTTCTTAGACCGACATTATCGGTCGGTTTTAAGGAGTAATTAAGAATATTAAGCTTTTAAATATAAATCAAAATTCATTAGCTAAGATGCGTATGCTGGAGAAGATTAATTTGGTGGGTTAAGAGACGCCACGTGGCGCAATCAGATTGGGTAAGTTGATAAATAAATAATGGTATTTTTTTTGTTTACTCAGATATTTCTTTCTTCTCTCTCTCTCTCTCTCTCTCTCTCTCTCTCTCTCTCTCTCTCTCTCTTCTCTCTCTCTCTCTCGATGCGACTAAAAGAAGAAATCGATGATGAACTTCGATTTCGTCTCGAATCGGAGTATCACCGACGAGCAAGAGCTCTGGCCATCTCTCCACCTCTAGATCATCATCGAGTTTAAGTTAGGTAGTGAAAGACGTGTTCGGTTCAAGTCTTTCAATCAGATTAGGATGCGATTCTGGAGGGGATGTTCGAGTTTCGAGTCAACAACGGCGTCAAGCGGTCGAAATCGGCGTCATGGGAGCAGCAATGGGTGGTTGAAGGTCTAAATTTGTTTATTGATCCGTTAATTGATGTGATTTAGCTTTTTAGAAATTAGGGTTTGTGATTTTGTAAAATTAGGGTTTGTGGATTTGGGGAAAACGGGTTATTCGTTGCTAGTGTGTATAAATAGGGTAATTAGAAGGTTGTATGAGTGTGTGGGATGTTTCTAAGGCATGATAGTTACAAAACTGAAACCCGATTCTTGAATATGTTTTGTGGATTTGGGGAAAAATTGTTATTCATTGCTAAGGTCTTTAATTATATGAATTAGATGCATCCATTGTGTGTGTGTAGGTTTTACGGCATGATTGTCACAGAATTTTAAACCCAATTATTGTTATTTGCATTTTATCTTTTGTTGTGTTGATTAATACCCCTTTGGATAATATTTTGTGTCATGAATTTGTTTAGTTTTTGTTGGTGTTGGCATTTTAGATAGGTTTATCTGAGATGTATCTTTCTTTATGTTTATTGATCCATTTTTTCTCTTCTATTTTACATATATATTGTGTCTGGTGAGAGGATTGGGATCAACTGGTATTATATAAATGGCATTGGATAGAAGGCAGAGGAGGAGTACTCATGTTAGTGGAGTATTTGCTGAAGACAAAACATGTCAGAATTTTGATTCCATCTCTGTATTTCTTTGTGTGTTTATGCATGTATAGAACTAGGATTTGAATGAAACTGGTTATAGAACTAGGATTTGAATGAATCTGGTTATATGCTAACTCATTAATAAATGATGGAAACTCAGTTTGATGTGTAATAGATGTCTACTTTTTCTTTTTCATTTAATGCATTTAGGTAGAAAACTGTCTCTTCTCTTCTTTGATAGTGTATGTGTTTATGTTTTACTGGATAGTACATATGTATTGTTTGCCAACTTGTGTGATAGTAAATGATGATTAGAAATGCTAGTTTGCTTTTCATTCAATTTTCTCCACAACTGTGAACACTAAATCTTAAAGGGAAAAATGTCATAAAAATCCTGAACTTTCAAATTTGGGACGATTTAATCCTGAACTTTAAAGAAGTAATTTTAATCACAAAGTTTTGTTGATTTTTGGGTAAAATAGCTAAGTTTTATTGATTTCACTTATTTAAGCATGACATTTAATTTTTGTTAAAAACTTAAAGATGTAGTTAACTATATGTGAGCTGTTTTTGTTTAGCCTAAATGACCATGTTTCTTAGACGACAAAACGATGTTGGAAATCGTTTTCTTCCTCCATGGACCCGCACTATGGCAACAATTCAACAAGAAGTAAAGAAAATTTGTGGATTTTTCTAGGGTTAGGGAGTTAGATTTGTGAATTATGAATCGATTTTGGGATTTAGTTTCTTTGGTATGTTAAACGACGTCGTTTTGTGGTTTGAAACAGAAGCAACTCACAGATAGTTAATCCCGTCTTTGCAATTTAAAGAGAAACTAAACGTCGTGTTTAAATCGGCTAAGTCAACAAAACTTAGCTATTTTACAGAAAAGTCAACAAAACTTTGTGATTAAAATGACTTCTTTAAAGTTCGGGATTAAATCGTCCCAAATTTGAAAGTTCGGGATTTTTATGACATTTTTCCCAAATCTTAAACCTATCTATATATTGATAAGCCGAATCTCTTTCACTCTCATTCACTTTCATTATCTTTTCATTCACATAGAGGAGTATAAGCCGATTCTCTTTCACAAGCTTTCACTTTCATTCTTTTGCTGCTCTCTTTTCATTATCTTCCTTTTCACTTTTCATTCTCTTGCTTCTCACTTTTCATTCTCTTGCTGCTCTCTTTTCATTCTCTTCACTCCAATGAATCCATATGGTAACTCATATAGCTTCATGGAGCTTTTAAGCAGTCAACCCAATAGTTATCAGTTAGCGTCACCAAAAATTAGACTTGGTGATTCTGAGATTCCTCTCTTTAGCTCCCAATGTTCTGAAGCTACTACTCATGGTGAAGGCATCCCCACTGCTAACCGAACAGCAAGAACAAAGAACGCTTGGACCTCCAAGGAAGATTTGGTGTTGATATTTGCGTAGCTAAACACATCCAAAGATGCCAATATAGGCAATGAGCAAAGAGCCGACGCCTTTTGGAAGAGGATTGCAGCCTATTTTGCTGCAAGTCCAAATGTCCCTTCTCAGTTTAAGAGAGAACCAGAATACTATAAACAAAGATGGGCAAAGATCAGTGAGATAGTTTGTAAGTTTGTGGGAGCTTATCAAGCAGCAACACATCAGATGGCTAGTGGGATGAATGATGATGATCTTGTTAAGCTAGCACATGTGATTTTTGAGACTGATCAAAAGAAGAAGTTCACCTTAGATCATGCATGGAGAGCCTTAAGGAAGGAACATAAGTGGTGTTCATTATAGTCTAACAAAGATACTGAGAAGAGCAAAAGGAGGAAGGTTGACTCTGATTTACACACCCACTAGTATTCCCAATCATGAAGCTGGTGTGGAGCGAATGCAAAGGATTCAGACATTGTGGGAGCTTAAGGATAAAAACTTTGCTTTGAAGCAACAAGAGCATGTGTTGAATGATAAATTGACAAACAAGAAACTTCTGGACTCTCTTCTTGCTAAAGCTGGTCCTCTATCTGAAATTGAAGAGGAACTTAAAATGAAACTAATTCGAGAGTGTTTCCTTTCATGAATCTTTTATGCTTTGTTTCAGTTATGTTTATGTTCTTTAATCAGACAAGTGTTATGTTATGTTGTTAGTTTCAGTTATGTATCTTTTCTTTCATCAATGTATGTGTATGTTTGTGTTCTTTAATGAAGTTATGTTTTATATGTTTGTGTTCTTTAATCAATGTATATTTCAGTTTAAGTTTCTGTTATGTCTTGTTTTCTTTGAACAATGCTTGGTTGTGTGGATGTTTTTATTGAATTTTTGTTTGCATATGCATGTAGGTTCACAGGTTATTGAGATAGAAGAAAATAAACAAGTCTAGTTGTGGCTGTGAAGGATCATTCACGTTCACGGGACAAGTATTAAATTGGCAAGGACTGAGTGGTGTGTCAATTGGGGTTCACGGACACAACAATGCAAGGAAGAAACAAAGATCAACAATTTGCTATAAATGTGAAGAATTTGTATATGTTATTGTTTACTCTTACAATCGATTCTATCTCTTCAACTCTTTCTTATTTTCACATACACAATTTCACAAACACATTTCTTGTTCAATATATTCCTATTTGTAATCAGTTATTGTTTTCACTTACTCTACCAAACCACAACATATCATTCTCTTACCAATACACAAAATTTTCTTCTTACCAAACCACAAAACACTCGACCAAACCAAGAACTTTCCTTTCCTTTTATTCTCTTTAATCATCCAAACCACAATATATCATTCTCTTTTATTCTCTTTGCACCTCCGATTCGCAAAATATCACCACAATATATCATTCTCTTCTATTCTCTTCACACCTCCAATTCATTAAATATCACCACAATATATCATTCTCTTTTATTTTCTATATAGAAAATGGCGTCATCTTCTCACGATGAATTTTCATAACTTTTGGATGAAGAATTTGATAATCTTTCCAAGAAGAATGGGATGATTCTTTGTATTCTTACGAGGATAGTTCTTATCAATAACCTAGAAAACCGAGAAAAAAGAGTCCATATAGAAAGACATCGTGAAGCAGGACACATGAGGTTGTACAACGATTATTTTGGGGAAAATGCAACCTTCCCTCCTAATCTTTTATGACGTCGGTTTAGAATGAATAAGCCTCTATTCATGCGGATTGTTGATCGACTAACCGGTGAAATTCTTTTCTTTCATCAAATAAAAGATGCGACCGGAAGGTTAGGATTCTCTCCACTACAAAAGTGTACATCAGCAATTCGTATGCTTGCAAATGGTGCGCGGCTGATGCGGTTGACGAATACCTCCGCATTGGTGAAACCACTTCCATGAAATGCATGCAACATTTTGTTGACAGTATTATTTCTTGCTTTAGAGATGAGTATCTAAGAAAACCAACCGCAGTAGATCTTCAAAGACTATTCATTATTGGAGAGATTAGAGGATTTTCCGGGATGATGGGAAGCATCGATTGTATGCACTAGGAGTGGAAGAATTGCCCAACCGCTTGGAAAGGTCAATATACACGGGGCTCTGGAAAACCGACGATCGTTTTAGAGGCTATGGCTTCGCAAGATCTTTGGATATGGCACGTGTTTTTTGGACCTCCTTGTACTTTAAATGATATCAATATTCTTGATCGCTCTCCTGTTTTTGTTGACATCTTACAAGGACGAGCACCAAAATACAAGTATGTAGTCAACAGAAACGAGTATACTTTGGGTTACTATCTGACAGATGGAATTTATCCAAAATAGGCTACATTTGTCCAATCGATCCCACTTCCACAAGGTGATAAACCTTCTTTATTTGCAACCCAGCAAGAAGCTTGCCGTAAAGATGTAGAGCGTGCTTTTGGAATTTTGCAAGCTCCATTTGCAATTGTCAAAAATCCGGCTCTTATTTGGGATAAGGAAAGAATATGAAGTATTATGCGGGATATGAAGTATTTGGGATAAGGAAAGAATATGAAGTATTATGAATATGAATATGAAGAATACGAACATATTTGGAGTAAATTTTCTTGCAATCAAGTTTAAATTTATTGTACTTTATGTTATAATTTCTATCTTATGATTTCTATATTATGAATGTTATCAAATTCTAAATTTGCAATAATTATAAGATTTTCTTATATTACAAATTATAAATTTATTTAATTTTAAAAAGAAAGAATTCTTAGATACCCAACTTAAGATCCTACCAATAAACACATCTCAAAACTAAAAACAAAATTAAAACTCTTAAACTTTACTTTTTCAAATTTAATACTAAATTAATGCTAACATACCTAACTAACATACTCCCCATAAAGTTGCTCTTATACTACGTGAAAATATGATAACTCTATATTTTTACATTCTTAAGCATATATTTTGTGCATAGTTTGCATGTTTTGAGTTTATTTCCTATGAGTTTTAGTCTATTTTTCTTCATATTGCACATTTAGGAGTTTTAGCATAGGCATTTGCATATTTCTTGCATTTTAGAGTTAAAGTAGGTACACTCGGACTTTTCTGAGCATTCGAAGACATGGACCCGACGAAGGTGGACAGGACCGAGTAATCGGATCCAGTGAGAGAAGCTGGACTCGACCGAGCTTGAAGAGGACCTGATGAGGACATAGGACCGAGTATAGACGAGTGCTCGCCGAACGACCATGACCCGGCAACGAGTGACCTGATACCGACAATCCTTACGGTCATAGCTAAACCAATGACCTGATCACGTACAAGGAAATTAAGAGAGACGCTCAATGAAGGAGTTGAGGCACTGATCAATGAAACTGGCCAAATGGGTATTCTGTCGACCGACCCTCGACCCCCGGACGTGAGTAGGAGCCTCAACAAGTTCCTTCGAGCAAATGATGGAGAACATAACAAACAAGGTGAGTTTCATCGACCAAGTCCATATTTTAAGACTAATGAACGAGCCTGTTTCGCAAAAAACCCCCCTAGAAACACATGTCGGTCGAGCACCCCCACCCGGCACCGACGACACGAACGCACGAACGGTCGACCCAGACGACCTACCACCAAATGGCACGGGCATCGAAATTCATCGACAAAGTGATAATTTTAAAAGCTTCTATCGAGAGCGTTTTGAGAAACACCCCGCAGAACATGAAGACTCACGACAAGTACCGTCCATGGCCGCCAGAAAGCTTGTACGGAGTGAAACCGTGAACAAAGTCGACCCAAACAACTCGGGCTTCGATATTCACTCGACAAGTGATGCTTCTGGAGGTAACCATCGGAACAAAGGTGCCCATGAACGGGACGGATAGGGAGATGGTCCAAGGGAGCCCTATTCTCTCCGTATCGACAAAAGCAAGACCCGCTACACAAAGAATGGAGGTTTGACCATATAGGCTCGTACAAAGGTGAGGATAGCCAAGAAAACAAGAGCTAAGGTGAAGAAGACGTCGAAGAACTGGAGATAACTATGTGGCCTCTCATTTATTCGAATAAGGTAAGTTCGGTCTTTATTATTTCCATTTTCTCTTGATTGTTTTGCAGGACCTATCGACCGAACTTCTTTTTATTTCTTTGATTCTAAGTCTTAGAGAGTCGAATCCAAGCCTCCAACCTGTGGAGAGGGTTCACTTGTGCGAATGACACAAGTTTCCATTTTTGTTTTTTTTCTTTACTTTATTTTGTAACCGTTAGTTTCATGAGATTGAATCTCAACCCTTGAAGGTCATGGCTGAAGGACTATTAATAAAGTCCCACTCGCAGCCTTGTAGTCACGTTTTTACCCTAGATCAATAAAGCTGAACTTTCTTCTCGTGCGCCGTTTGCAAGTTGAGAGCCTTACACGAGTGTTCTTGAGTGGTTTCCCCTTGAATCGTTCCATGTGAGTTTGTTACTTGGTTGTGCGAGTCCCTACTGTCTTAAGGTTACCTGGTTATTGATAGTTTCTCCTTTGTTCGTGGTTCCATCGAGAGAGAGCGAAGGCCAACTGGATAAACCCTAGTCCGTTCATTCGTTTCGTCGTTCGGAGCGTGTATCAGTACCCGAACGAATCGAGGATGCACCCGATCGAGCTTTCCTCAAACCAACTTTGTAATTTGTCTTTTTGCGTTTTAGAGCTTCCACAACGTATTATAAAAAGAGGCATTGGGTCATTAAGAGAAAAAAATTGAGTTTCATTTCGTTTATGTTGTTTTGGATTATTTGTGTTCTATTTAAGGTGTGTTCATGTTTGATTATGAGCAAGAAAAGGTGTTAATGGGCTTAAAGAGGAGAAAAGGAAGAGAAAATGAGCCAAATGGGCCTTAAAGCGCAAAACCGAAAGCCCACTTGGTCGAGTCAATGACGCAACGGTCGAGTCAACGTCACCCGATCAGGTTCAATCTCAGCCGTCCGATCGAGTCAAAGGTAGCAACGGTCGGGTCAATGGTCAACCCGATTTGAAATTCAAAATTCAAACTACACCCGACCAAAAAACGCTCCTCTCTTCAGTTTTTGTCCCCTCTCACTCTCTATTTAAACTCCAAACTCGACTAAACTCCCTCACACTCTCATTTTGCCAAAATATCACTTCTCTCTCTAGATTTCTCTTTTCCTTCTCTCTAGTTCATTGCTCTTCATAATTTCTGGGTTTGTTCTTGCTTTTGTTCTTGCTATTCTTATTTTTCTAGGTTGCTAACCTACTCAAGTTGAGCTTTGAGTTCTTGATTCTCAGACAATTAAGATGCCTTCAAGAGAAATTCAACCAAGGAGAAGAAGCCTTTCAAGATCAAAGGGGAGGCCCATCACAACCAAACCGCTGAAGAAATTGCAAGAAATTTCATGGATGTCAAAATATTTTTCTCTTCCTTTTTTTTGTTTTTTTTGGATAAAAATAAATAGATAAAATATAAAATCAGAAAAGAAGGTGAAAGATAAAAGATGAATGAAAGAAAATGAAGAGGTGAGTAGATGATGGAGTGATAGAATGATAGACCAAGCTTTTAGAGTGTTGCTCTGATACCAAATGATAAAATCCTCCGGGGGACACGATACTCTAAGATGGTGAAAAGATATTCTTTAAGTTCAACGGACGGTGAAGCCATGAAGAACAAGGTTGGTGGAGTGAATGGTCGCACAAGAGCTGCGGAAGACTCTTGATTTACCGAACTTGAATCCCTTAGATATGACACACTAAGACGAATTCAAGGGTGACAATGAGAATCACTCTCGACAAGACCCCCTGGATATGACACACCAAGACGGATCATGCATTGATCAATAGATATTACACACCATTAACCAAACCAATGGATATTACACACCATTGACGAAAAATGATAAACACTTTCAAAAGGTTCCAAAAATATCAAAAAGGCTTAATCTTATTATTCATGAGATAACCTCATTATATAGAAGGCAAATACATCAAAAATGTCCATAATAATAGCTCAACATGCAGAGCATCTAGGGAGATGAAATTCAAACTTTAAAGTGTATGTAAGAGAGAGAGAAATCGAAAGAATTAAATGCTATTTTGCTATGGACGAAAATTGATCATTCTTCAGTCTTTTTGGGCTGAATCCACTTAGTTGGGCTTCTCTCATGGAACAGGATTGTAGAACAACTTTGTTTATAGCTTAATTCAATACCTTTAATTATAAATATATGTCTTAACATAAGAAAACCAATTCGATTTAGTATCTCAAATAACAATAAAAAAAAACTAATTATTGAGAAAGTCATTTTATAAATCTGGATCATCTAATGAAAGGTTTGTGAACTCCAATATTCCAGCCTCAGCTTAAATATCACCTTCATGTCCACCAACATCCCACTGTTTTGTCTTTTCATCTTGATAATCTTGGGTGTTTCTTGATAGAAGCCGCAAATTGTTGTGAATGTAAACCAAGTCTTCAGCCCGACTTGTAGTCAATTTGTTTCTTTTAAGAGAATGGATAAATGAGTATGTACTCCAATTACGCTCAGCACAAGAAGAAGAACTAGGTTGTCCAAGAAGCTTGAACGCCAAAGTCTGGAGATAAGGAGTATGAGCACCAAAATTAGCCCACCAAAGTTTAGGTTCCATAGTAGATATCTCCAAAATGCATGTTAAATCCTCAAAAGGACCACTCTTCGTCGAGAATAATGCATACTCAATCATAACTTTAGTATGATCTTCAGTACTAGGAAACAATCTTCGGCAGCATTTCATCCTCTCAGTTGAGATTTCTCCATCCTTATGAGGACTAATTCTCGTGGAATCTTCAGTTAGCCAAGCTTCACTATAAAATGTACAACATAAAAAAATTGTGTTGTATATAAATAAATATTTTAAAATCTACAACATAAAAAAAATTATTTTAAAATCATACCTTGGGTTTAACGAGTGAGCTAAGCAATGTAGAGGAGTGTTATTCTTCGCCCAACGAGCCACTAAGATTTCGTAAACCACATCATAGAAGACACTAAAATCAGACATTTCACGTTCTTCTTTCTTGTATATCTCAAACTTCACCCTCTCAATCATGGAATCCCACATCTCATACACCAAATGAAGGCATGGTTTATCAGTGTCACAAAATCTGATCATGTCATATATAGGTCTTGTGAAATCAATAATATAAGACACTTTGTCCCACGAATTATCATTCAAAAGCTTACTCTTAACGAAATTAGCTTTCTCAACGTCATCATCTCGATAAGTAGACCACTCCTCGCTTATAACCATGGCTGGGAGGCCGGTTTTGATAAGCTTCAGTCTTTTAAGCATCACAATAATGGAAGTAAAACGAGTATCAGCCACCGAAAGTAACTTAAGAGGAGAGAACTTACTAAAGATTTCTAGTCTCATGTTGTGGTTCATGATATAATTTTTGATTGCAAGAGCATCCCCATGAACAAGTGTTATCCAATTGCACGCCTCATATCTCTCAAGATTTGATTCCACATTCGTTGCTGCACATATATTCTTCAATGCAAGATTCAATGTGTGTACCACACAAGGCGTCCAATAAATGTGAGGATAAGAACATTCAATAATCTCTCCAGCCGCCTTACAATTTGCTGCATTGTCAATGATGATTTGCACAACTTTTTGATGACCCACTTCATTAATAACTTCTTTCATTAAATTAGAAATGAAGAACTTATCGTCCACTTCGCCAAAACAATCCACAGCCGTGAGAAATAGAGGAGCACTTCCAGAAATACCAATGAAATTAATCAAAGGTTTTCTTATAGGATCACTCCAACCATCAGACACAATTTTTACCCCTTTTTCTTTCCATCTTGACTTAAGCGGTACCAATAATCCCTCAACATGGTTTCTCTCTTTCTGTAACAACTTCGTCCTCAAATTATTATAACCCGGAGGCACATATCCATCAATTTTGTTGGCAGCAGCAAACTGATAAGACCTATGATAGCGAGGGTTCCTTGCCAAATTAAAAGCCAAACCTCCAGTGTAAAACATTCTGGCAATTTCTTCATCCAGTTGGTCCCTGACTACAACACCAAATGCTTTTTCAAAGGGTGAAAAACTAGATTTTCTTTTCTTGAAAGCATAATTCGTTTCACAAGGCAAAGACACGTCTTTTGGTCCAGACTCATTTTTCTTGTCCTCTAACGCGTCTTGCAATGCTTTCATATCTCGTCTTTCAATCATCGTCACTTTCTTACAAACAGCGATTCACACCAAAACAAATCAGATCATAGTCGATACTCACACCAAAAACATATATGATACTCACACCAATACGATACTCACCCCAAAAAAAAACATAGACAATACTCACACCAAAAAAAAGGAGATCATAGACGATACATACTTACAGTGTTTCCGTGTTGGTAAGACGTAAGAGATGGTGTTGTGTTGGTGTCTTGGTGAGAGTTTAGACTTTAGACTTTGGAGAAGGATATGAGTCGCTTATATTATGAAAAAACCCTAGATATCTCCTAAAATTCCTTTTTTGTTTGTGTTTTTATTGAAAAATAAATTAATTTGCCATTTATTTAACATGTGACGCTTAAATATTAGAGAAACGTCTCCGAAACTTCTCAGAATTCAACACGTCCCATTTCCTGTTTTATGTTGCCGACTCCGTTGCTGTAGAGACGGCAGTGAAACGTCTCACCGGCGTCCCTTTGACGATCCCGTCCCCGTGCCGTTTCCGGGACGTGATACGGCATCTAATAGCAGTCCCCGTGCTCCTTAGACCGGACTCGATCGGGCCAGAAAAGAGAAGAAGGATACCCAAGCTCCAGCTCAGACCCGATCACCCGATCGGGTCAGTCGATCGGGTCAGTCGATCGGGACAGGACAATCTGATTTCCAGAGAAGAAATTACGAAGGGGAAGAGGCCAGCAGAGGAGGATGCTGATGAACCTATGGAAGAAATTGAGCCTAGGAGGGTTGTTGCACCAAGGAAGAGCAAGAAGCTCACTCCTTCCAAGGAACTCTATGCCATCTTAAGATCTTGCCGAAGTGCTTCAAATTCTGTCTTCATTATTTTCTCCATCCATGTTGAGAATTTCTTAAGCAACCGTTTGTTGTTGCGATTGGGGATTGTTTCTTCTTCCTTGGTGTCAACAATTTTTCCTGAAACAAATCAACACACAAGTCACCAGTAACAAGTTCTTTTTGAAATAAAAAAGATTGGACACAACAAACACAAAATAACCCTTCAAATGACACCAAACTTTCCTGAAACCCTATTTACGACAGTACCAATTGATTGGGACAAATAAATTATCAAACAATGCTGAAAATTTCCGGAAATAATTTTTTTCTAAAACTAGACTCGTCCTAGATGCATTTGCAATTTATTTCCCAATTTTTTAACAAGCCAATAATTTATGAAAATTAAAAAAATATGACTAGGCGACAGAAAAGATGAACAGACAATGATGAACAAACATGAAATGGTTAGAGTACTCAACTTCAGAGCGTGCTCTGATACCAGATGATGAGAATCTCCATAGTATTCGACACTCTTAATTTGAGCAAGGATAGATTTGGCTGGAAAGCCGTAAAGCGGAATAGAAGTTGAATGGTCAATGGATATCACAAGGAGCTTGCAGAATAGCTTCACGATACTAAACCTAGAACCTTTGGATATACGCACCAAAAAAAGCTAAGGGTTTTGCTGGATATACACACCAACAAGATGATCGATGGATATACACACCAACGAAAAGATCTCCTTAGAGAAATAAAAGGTTTTGATAATAAGAAGGGTTAAGGTCTCAAAGAGATTACAAGGGGTTTATAGAGAAGAAGGAAGTCTTGGAACACACTCCCATGACTACCTTGGAAATAACAAAATATTATAGTTAGAGTTTGAATAGAAATGAACATTGAACTACTTATTTTCGTCACTTCTCTTGGCCAGCAAAATTAGACACTATGTTTGGGCTCTTCTTAGGTTTGAAATAAGCGTAAACAAGCTGGGTTTGGTATATATTCTCTTGGGCCAATTTCTGAATGTTCGACCATGGTTTGGATCAATAAATGGGTGATTTGAATGTGAATCATTTGCCTCATTAAAAACCTTGTCAAGAAAACCCATTGGGACAAAACTTGACAACGGAAAAAGAGTACAAATGAGACACATGCCCATTTGGTGATCATGTATCAAAACCAATGAGGTTAAGATAACATCTTTCTCATACTCTTTCTCCACTATAAGTTCATTCTCTGGTCCAAACGGCTCCTTAGCTTCGAGCTGCTCTTCTGCTTCAAGCTCCTCCTCGGCTACAAGCTCTTTATGAAGTTCCAAATCCGTTGTTCTAGGCATGATGATCATATCATCCTCTCCTTCTTGAAAAGGATTTGACCTCAAATCCAATTCATCTACAATGAAAAGAACTAAGTCAGTAATTTTTAAACAGTAACTCACATTATACTTACCTCGCAGCTCAAGTTCATAAGCTTTATTGTTGATTTGGCTTGCTATGTTGAAATGACCATAGATCCTTAGGATTAGATTGGACTCCCCTTCAGTTGGAAATCTTTTCTTCCTCCAATGTACCCACACTTGTTCTCAAACCTCATATATCATCCTGAAACAAGCATAAGGTTTCTTAGACCAACATTATCGGTCGGTTTTAAGGAGTATTTAAGGGTATTAAGCTTTTAAATATAAAAAAAAATTCATTATTATTCCTTAGATGCGTATGCTGGAGAAGATTAATTTGGTGGGTGATAAGTCTGTATTTCATCACTTTTTGAGCATGTATTCATCATCTTTTCAGCATCATTCACTTGTTGATACGCATCATATAGATCACTTTTTGCATGTTTTGCATACTTAGGTAGGTTTTGTGCATATCATGCATGTCTTGCATACATTCTGCGTATTTGGAGTATTTTAGGTACTTAGGAGACATGCAGAGCGAAGCAGAGGAACAAGCGTTACTCGACATGCATATGATCGAGTGGGACGATCGAGTGAGAAGCAGAGATACGTTGTAGAATACATGGTCGAGTATGTAATGATTAACTGTCACTCGATGGGCATACTCGATACGCTCACTCGAGATACATGGTCGAGTATGTAATGATGCAGAGAAGAAATTATGTGTTACTCGACGCGCTCACTCGACCGACAGGGTCACTATAACTTTTAAAGCGCTTTTTACTGGGTCGTTTTATGTTTTAAGTTTTGCCCAAACATTGGTATAAATAGGTCTCTTTTGGCATTGTCCAGGGGATCGAGTTTTTACCCTTAGGTTTTTGTTGTTAGCCACCAAACAATCCAGAAAATTGTAATTGATATTTCTTTGAAGTTATTAAGATTTTTCACTTAGTTCTTTGATCATTGTTGTTTATCTTCCCGTCGTCTCTATTATTATGCATGTTTTGAAGGATTCTGGGTTTATGATGTTTAACATGATTTCTGTGTCTGAGTAGTGTTAGGATTCTTGAGGATGGGATAGATTAGGTGGAGATTGGATTAACAAGTATTTGATGTTCATTGTCTAGGGATTAGTATGTTTGTCGTTTGTTAAACACTCTAAGTAGATTAGCATACTCGACCTACATCAATAACCTCATCCTTAGGATCTTCTATCCATTTGTGCTTTCTGTTTTATACACTTACTATTTACTTTTTCTGTTCTGTCTTCTTGCTAGTATCGATAATCATTACGTTTTAATTTATGCATAATAGTGTATGTTTTGCAGCCTTACATTTATCGCATGTTTAACATGTTCGCTTAGGATCATTGGAAACCAAAATCATTTATACTTTGCTTGACTTAATCATTTCTGATATATCTTGATTGCTAGCATCACACTTGACTGGACTGATACCTATTGTGCTACAATGACATGATAGTACTCTAGGGTAATTAGTAGTAAAAACCTAGTATCAATTTGGAGCAGCTGCCATTTGGGTGTTTGTTTGTTACATTTGAGATTTCAGACTTGTTGAGATCAAGTTGTTACTCAACATTCACTACAGTTACTTACTCTGTTCTTTTTGCTTGCCTATTGATTCAGGTACAACTCTTGCTCAACTGCTCCTACTTGACTGACACACTCAACCGTCTCAAGATCTAAGTTGATTGAGTTGTATGCACACACTCAACTATCTCGCGATCTAAGTTGATTTGAGTTGTATTCACACATGGTCGCAAGGTACATAGAACTTGTTCTAGCCCTCCGACTTTATTGATCGCTTGGTACCTACACCACCACAAGTGGAGATGGAAAAGCCTCAACAACCACTTCCACCACGGGCACCTACACGGATTGGAGCTGGTGATGCTCCACGCAACCATACCCATCGTCAGGGTATAGTGCCTCCAGCAGTGCAGAACAACAACTTCGAGAGCAAGAGTGGTCTGATCTCCGTAGTCCAGCAAAATAAATTTCATGGTCTGCCTATGGAAGACCCCTTGGATCACCTCGATGAGTTTGATCGTCTATGCAGTCTCACCAAGATTTATGGAGTCAGTGAGGACGGTTTCAAGCTACGTTTCCTTCCATTCTCTCTGGGTGACAAAGCTCATCAATGGGAAAAAAAACTATTCCTCCAGGATCTATTACCTCCTGGGATCAATGCAAGCAGTCATTTCTTGCCAAGTTTTTCTCGAACTCTAGAACTACACGTCTGCGCAACGAGATCTCTGGGTTCACTCAAAAGAGTGGTGAAACGCTCTGTGAAGCCTGGGAGCGCTTCAAAAGTTATCAGTCTCAGTGTCCCCACCATGTCTTCACCATGGAGTCTCTCCTCCGCACTCTTTACCGGAGAGTTCTCCCAAAGATCCGGATGTTACTTGACACTGCCAGCAATGGCAACTTTCTGAACAAGGACGTTGACGATGGTTGGGAGCTTGTTGAGAACCTATCCCAATCTGATGGCAACTACAATGAAGACTATGACAGAACCATCAAGGCAAACACATATCTTGATGAGAAATACAAAAAGGAGATGAAAGTTGTGAATAATAAGCTGGATAAACTCTTAATGAGCCAGCAAAGGAACATCCATTTCTTCTATGAAGAAGACCCTTTCCAGATTCTGGATGGGGAGGAAGAACAATCTGAGGAGATAAGCTTTATACATAACCAAGGTGGATACAACAAGGGATATAACCCCTATAAGCAGAATCCCAATCTGTCTTATAGGAGCACCAATGTTGCAAATCCCCAGGATCAGGTTTATATACCTCCAAAACAGCAGCAGCAGGGGCAAAACAAACCATTTGTGCCCTACAACGAAGGTTATGTGTTCAATAGCAAGGTTACCAACCTCCAGCATGACCACCACTAGGATTCCAACCTCAACACGCTCCGCCTCCTCAGGCACCAAACCATGACATGAAAACATGCTTTAGCAACTCCTCCATGGACAAGCAAGTGGCTCCAAGGACAATGTTAAGACGTTTGCTGAGCTGACTCAGAGGTTGGACTGCTTATACAATGATATGAATATGAAGATTGAGACTCTGAATTCCAAGATCAAGTATATGGAGGGCAAAACTGCTTCTACTTCTGCCCCAAAGCCTGGCCAACTCCCAGGAAAAGCTGTTCAGAATCCTAAGGAGTTTGCTCATGACATCACGCTGAGGAGCGGTAAAAATTTGCCTCCCAGACAAGGGCATGTTGATGTCAATAAGGACATTGAAGACTTGGAAGGGGAGGATGCATGTTAGAATGAAGATCCGTTTGTTCATTTAAAAGAATCAGAAGCCGTACCTGAAGAAGCTCCTCAACCTGCTGAGAAACATGCTGAAACACCTGCAGCCTCCAAGGATAAGTCTGTGAGATACGTTCCCCCACCATACAAACCACCTCTACCATTTCCATGACGATTCAAAAAGCAACAAGCTGAGAAGTATAAGGCTTTATTTGAAAACAAGTGAAAGAGATTGAGTTGAGAATGCCATTGCTGGATGCATTCGCACTTGTCCCTCCTTAGGAGAAGTTCCTCAAAGATTTGGTTATGGAGAGAGCAAAAAAAGTCCAAGGCATGGTGATATTGAGTCATGAATGCAGTACCATTATCCAGAAGAAGATCGCTCCCATGAAGCTTAAGGATCCTGGATCATTCACTCTACCTTGCTCACTAGGACCTCTATCTTTCAGTAGGTGACTATGTGATCTTGGAGCTTCAGTGAGTCTAATGCCATTGTCTATGGCTAAGCGTTTAGAATTCACAAGATACTAGGCATGCAACATATCTATCATTCTAACTTATAGATAAGTGAGGCTCCTGCATGGACTCTTGGAAGACTTGCCGATAAAAAATGATGTTGTTGAACTCCCTACATATTTCGTTGTATTGGAAATGGATGAAGAGCCTAAGGATCCCTTGATTCTTGGAAGGCCATTCCTAACTACTGCAAGAGCTATCATTGATGTTAAGAAGGGAAAGATTGATCTATGCTTGGGAGAAGACTTCAAGATGACATATGACATCAAGGAGTCCATGAAGAAACCAACGATCAATGGCAAGGTGTTCTAGATAGAGGAGATGGATTAGTTAGCTGATGAACTTTTAGAAGAACTTACTGTAGAGGATCATCTCAAGACAGCCTTGACAAAGAATGGATCAGATGGGTTCCTTCATGCTAAGACTAAAGTCTACGAAACATTGCTGGATACCTACAAGGCAACTGATGATTCATAACGTTTTGAAGAATTGGATGAGTCTTTCAAGGAGGTATGCGCAGTAGAGGAGGAAGTCAATGGCAACCTGATCACTCACCCAGCTGATGATCCTATCAATGCGGCGGATGATGACTGGTCAGAGTTAAAAGCTCCCAAAGTTGAGCTCAAACCGCTACCCTTAGGACTGAGGTACGTATTCCTTGGATCCAGCTCTACTTATCCTGTCATTGTGAATGCTAGCTTAAATAATGAGGAATTATAGTTGCTAGTAACTGAGCTTAGAAAATATAGAAGGGCCATAGGTTATTCTTTAGATGATATCAAGGGGATCTCACCTAGTCTCTGCATACATAGGATCAATCTGGAAAATAAATCATACATTAGTATTGAACCTCAAAGGAGACTGAATCCTAATCTTAAGGAAGTTGTGAATAAAGAAATTCTTAAACTGTTGAATGTTTGGGTTATTTATCCTATCTCTGATAGTACTTGGATATCCCAAGTTCACTGTGTACCTAAGAAGGGTGGAATTACAGTGTTTAAAAATGAAAAATATGAATTGATCCTCACTAGCACTATCACTGGTCATAGGATGTGCATTGATTACAGAAAATTGAATGATGCATCAAGGAAAGACCACTTCCCTTTTCCTTTCATTGATCAAATGTTGGAAAGATTAGCCAATCATCCCTACTACTGTTACCTTGATGGGTATAGTGGATTCTTCCAAATCCCTATCCACCCAAATGCTCAGGAAAATACCACTTTCACTTGTCTCTATGGCACATTTGCCTACAGACGCATGCCTTTTGGTTTGTGTAATGCGCCTGCAACATTTCAGAGGTGTATGAACTCTATATTCTCGGATTTGATAGAGGAGATGGTGGAGGTATTCACGAATGACTTTTCCGTGTATGGTTCTTCTTCTCCTCATGTTTGTTGAATCTCTGCATGGTATTAGCCAGATGTGAGGAGACAAGCCTAGTTTTCAACTGGGAGAAGTGCCACTTCATGGTGAACGAAGGGATAGTGTTGGGACACAAGGTATCAGAGAAGGGGATTGAGGTTGATAAGGCAAAGATTGAGGTCATGGTACAGCTGCAACCTCCCAAGACAGTCAAATATATAAGGAGTTTTCTTGGGCATGCTAGGTTCTACGGAAGATTCATTAAGGACTTCTCAAAAATTGCAAGACCCCTCACAAGATTGTTGTGCAAGGAGGTCGAGTTTGTAGTTGATGAGAGCTGTCTAGAAGCTTTTAACAAGATCAAAGAGGCTTTAGTCTCAGCACCAATAGTCCAAGCTCCAGATTGGGACCATCCTTTTGAGATAATGTGTGATGTTTCTGATTATGTTGTAGGGGCTGTGTTAGGGCAGCGAATAGAGAAGAAGCTGCATGTCATCTACTATACGAGCAGAACTCTTGATGAGACACAAGGGAGGTACGCAACAACAGAGAAAGAGCTCTTGGATGTAGTCTTTGCATTTGAGAAGTTTAGAAGTTACTTGGTGGGATCAAAGGTAGTAGCCTACACAGACCATGCTGCACTTAGACATGTATACTCGAAGAAGGACACCAAGCCTAGACTGCTTAGATGGATACTTCTACTCCAGGAATTTGATATGGAGATTGTTGATAATAAAGGCATAGAGAATGGTGTTGTAGATCACCTTTCAAAATTGAGGATAGAAGATCCAATCCCTATTGATGATTCCATGCCTAAAGAACATCTTATGGTCTTTGAGATATGCAAGAAAATGCATCAAACAGGAATGGCTATGAAAGAGCTTCTCTTAATGTCTAGCAGTCAATTCAGAGAGTATGCCTTGGTACGCGGATGTTGTTAACTACAAGGTTTGTGGAGAGATTTCTACAGACATGGATCCTTATAGGAAAAAGAAGGTTTTCAGAGATGTCAACCATTACTTCTAGGATGAACCTTACTTGTACAAGAGGGGATCAGATGGGCTGTTTAGGAGATGCATAGCAGAAGGGGAAGTGCAGGGAGTGCTTGAGCACTGGCATGGATCCGCATATGGAGGACATTTAGCCACATTCAAAACAGTTCAGAAGATTTTACAAGCATGCCTTTGGTGGCCAACTTTTTCCAAGGATACAAACAGTTCATCACCAAGTGTGACGCCTGCCAGAGGATGGGTAACATCAACATAAGGAATGAGATGCCTCATAACTCGATTTTAGAAGTCAAAAATTTTGATGTTTGGGGAATTGATTTCATGGGACCGTTCAACCCTCCATCAAATGGCAATTTCTACATTCTTGTTGCATGTGACTATGTCTGAAAATGGGTTGAAGTCATTGCAAGTCCCACCAATGATCACAAGGTTGTTTTGAAACTGTTCAAGAGCATCATCTTTCCCAGATATGGAGTGCCGAGAGCAGTGATCAGTGATGGTGGTACACTTTCATCATCAAGGTTTTTGAAAGGATGTTGAAGAAATATGGTGTAAAGCATAAGGTGTCTACAGCCTACCATCCCTAGACTTATGGACAAGTTGAGGTCTCTAACAAGCAGATAAAAGGAATCTTGTCAAGAGTTGTTGGGGTTTCAAAGAAAGATTTGTCTAACAAGTTGGATGTAACTCTATGGGCGTACAGGACAGCTTTTAATATACCAATAGGAAGGACACCTTTTTAGTTGTTGTATGGTAAAGCATGTCATCTCCCTGTGGAAATTAAGTATAAGGCACTTTGGACTATCAAGCTTCTGAACATGGATATTGATGCAGCCCAGACAAAGAGAGTTCTTGACATCCATGAGCTTGAAGAAATCAGATTTGATGCTTTCGAAAGTTTGAAGATCTAAAAGGAGAGAACCAAGGCATTCCATGACAAGAAGATTGTTGTTAAGGAGTTTAAGGCTGGTGATCAAGTCTTGCTGTTCAATTCCAGACTTAAGTTGTTTCCTGGAAAGCTCAAGTCTAGATGGTCTGGACCGATTGAAATCAAGAATGTATTGCCATTTGGTGCAATCACTCTTCTGGACAAGGACGGCATCAAGTTCACTGTGAACGGTCAACGTGTCAAGCGTTACCTAACTGATCAAGAGACACCAGAGGGGTCCTCCATACCTCTCTATGAGCCTCCAAAAGCTTTAAAGGCATAAAAGTCAAGTTTAGTGACTTTAGAAAATATAGAAGGCCGGTCATAGGTTATTCTTTAGTTGATATCAAGGGGATCTCACCTAGTCTCTACATATATAGGATCAATCTGGAAAATAAATCATGCACTAGTATTAAACCGCAAAGGAGACTGAATCCTAATCTTAAGGAAGTGTGAAAAAAGAAATTCTTAAACTGTTGAATGTTGAGGTTATCTATCATATCTCTGATAGTAGTTGGATATCCCCAGTTCACTGTGTACCTAAGAAGGGTGGAATTAAAGTGATAAAAAATGAAAAAGATGAATTGATCCTCACTAACACTATCACTGGTAATAGGATGTGCATTGATAGAAAACTGAATGATGCATTAAGGAAAGACCACTTCCCACATCCTTTCATTGATCAAATGTTGGAAAGATTAGCCAATTATCCCTACTACTGTTTTCTTGATGGGTATAGTGAATTCTTCCAAATCCCTATCCACCCAAATGCTCAGGAAAATACCACTTTCACGTGTCCCTATGGCATTTGCCTACAGACGCATGCCTTTTGGTTTGTGTAATGCGCCTGCAATATGCCAGAGGTGTATGGACTCTATATTTTCTGATTTGATAGAGGAGATGGTGGAGGTATTCACGGATGACTTTTCCGTGTATGGCTCCTCTTTCTCCTCATGTTTGTTGAATCTCTGCATGGTATTAGCAAGATGTGAGGAGACAAGCCTAGTGTTCAACTGGGAGAAGTGCCACTTCATGGTGAACGAATGGATAGTGTTGGGACACAAGGTATCAGAGAAAGGGATTGAGGTTGATAAGGCAAAGATTGAGGTCATGGTACAGCTGCAACCTCCCAAGACAGTCAAATATATAAGGAGTTTTCTTGGGCATGCTAGGTTCTACGGAAGATTCATTAAGGAT